AAATTAACTGAATTTTAAAAGATTTCATTTTTAACTTTCACAAAAATTTGAATTTGAAATGAATTTAATTAAAAATTTGAAAGAACTTAGATTTTTGAAAAATTTTAATAATTCAAATTCTTCTAAAATTAGTTCAATTTTTTAATACATATTTAATTGATGATTAAAAATAATGGATTTATAGAAGTATTTTAGTTGAAAACGCTAAAAAAAATTGAATTTTGGAGAAGTTACAAATTATTGCAGAAATTTAATTATTTTAAAAAGTAATTGAATTCTTTGCAGAAATTTAATTATTTTCAAAAGTAATTAAATTCTTTGCAGAAATTCAATTATTTTCAAAAGTAATTAAATTCTTCTCAGAAATTCAATTATTTTCAAAAATTTTAATAAAATTTATGGCAAAATTTCAATTATTTTCAAACATTTTCCTCAATTCAATGATTTTCAATATCTACTATTTCAAAAAAATTTTCCAAAAGAATTCAATTACTTCAAAAAAAATTTAATAAAATTCTACGCAAATATTTAATTACTTTTAAAAATAACAAAAATTTCACAGGAATTGAACTGGCAAATTTTTTATAAATTTCTTTGTGATAATTCAATTATTTTCATAAATAATAAAATTTTTTACATAGATTCAATTATTTTTTTAAATAATAATTTCTTTTTTGTAAATTCAATAAATTTCATAAATAATAAAACTAATAGCAGAATTTCAATTAATTTTAATACAATTTTAATCGAATTCCTCGAAAAATGTAATTATTCTTAGAAATTTTATTAAAATTCGTCAAAATAATTAAATTATTTAAAAATGTATTAATAAAATTCTTCATAAAAATTCAGTTTCAAGAAATATTCAATTATTCAATAAATTATTTATTTTTGTGTTTAAATAATTGAATTCTCGTAGAATTTTCTAATAAAAATTTATTTTAAAATGAATTTCAGTTATAATTTGAGATAATAATTGAATATTAAAAGCATTATAAAGCAAATTTTTAGAAATAATTGAATTTTGAAAAAGTTTCAAATTAAAATCTTTGAAAATCTGAATTTTTCATATTTTTAATTAACAATTTTGTAGAATTAATTTTTTTACAACAGTTTAATTAAATTTTTATTGAAATTATTTAAAGTTTTTATTTTCTAATATTATATTTAATTGAAGCATTTCTGAATAATTTAAATTTGCTCAAATTTAATTGTAAACAAATAAATTTGAAAATTCTCAAAAAAAATTTTTCAAAAATTATTAAAAATAATATTATAATAAATATTTATTTAAGAAAGAAGTTATTAATGTTTTCGAAGAATTTTACAATTAAAGAAATTCGTAAACAAATGTAACAGAACATTTCTTTGAGTAAAATTTTTTTCTTTATTTTCTAAAAATTCAAAAATCTTCAATTTCATTTTGAATTAAAATTTGCAATTGACAAATAGAATTTATAAACCTTTTTTTCCCCTTATTTTTAAAAAACTTTAAATTTTATTAAAACAATTATAATTAAGAAATAGAAATGATGCAAATTATTTTAATTCCTTATGAAAATTGAGAATTTTCTACAAAAATATTAAGAAACGGGAATATGTAATGTTTTTTTTTTCACAAAAGAAAAGAATGAGTTTGTTGACAATATTGTTATGGAGAAATAAAAATTATGCATAAAATGGATATATTTTCTATTTCTTAGTCATAATTTTTTAACAATTACCAATTTTCTATTTTTTATAAATCAAGAGGAGAATAATTTGCATAATTTAGATCAGTCAAAGGAAATTTATAGGAAAAAGCACATAACAAACAAAATGGGTGAATTTTTTATTTGTTAATCTTAATTTTTTTTTAATTTTTTAATTTCTAATATTATTTTATTATAAATCATGAAAAAATACCTGCATATTTTCAATTTGTCAAACAATATTTTTTAAAGAAAATAAAAACAAAAGCATGTACATAAAAACTAACTTCATACTGCGGACAGAATGAATGAATGAAAGACACAATTATCAGATTATTATTATAGTTAATAAAATATCAAAAAAAGAAAAATTTCTGAAAATTAGCGAAATGATAAAAATTTGAGCGCATTTTTTGAAAAAGTGGTCCAACCTTGACTATATTCCCTTAATATGAAATATCGAAAAAAGAAAAATTTCATGAAAATCAACGAAATGATAAAAATTTCAGCGAAGTTTTGATAAAGTGGTCCAACCCTGACTATGTTCCCCTAATAAGAAATATCAAAACAGAAGAATTTTATAAAAATTAGCATAATGATGAAAATTTGAACGAATTTCTTGAAAAAGTGGTCCAACCTTGACTATGTCCCCTAATAAGAATGTTCCCCTAATAAGAAATATCGAAAAAGAAGAATTTTCCGAAAATTAACAAAAGTGATAAAAATTTGAGCGAATTTCGCAAAAAAAAAAAAAAAAAGTAGCACATGAAAGAAACAAAATATAGTAAGACAATTCCAAGAAGCTGCGAGAAAGGGTACGAGTGTGTCTCATTAAATCAGAACGGCATTCCACGAACGTGTATACTCCCACGGGCATTCGATGGGGTTCTACTTCGATCACCATAGGTAGTTGTACGAAATGCATACAACACGCTGAGAGACAAGGTGCTTCAGATGAAATTTCAGATTTATATCCATTAATTCGTGTTTCCTAACGAAATTTAATGTTTTATATTAAGGGTTAACAACAAATGATGATGAATTCCCTTTTGCGTATCAAATATAACAATTACTCTTTAAAAAGAGTTATAAACAATCTGCTTTCTCTCTTTTTCTCTCCTATACTCTTCAAATCCTTTTTCTATCAAAATACCTCTTTGTTGAATGTAATCTTTGGCACTAATTCGTTGATCTCACCAATCTTTGAGGAAGATTCTTGGTAAAGCACTTTGGACAATATTCCTTGCGATCCAATAAATGTCTAGTGGTACCCCATAATGGCAGCCGCACTTGCGGCAAACGACTTTCCTATCAACCCTTGACCTGGTACGTTGTTCTCCGATACAACAAAGATGAGAGCATTTACTCACAACTTTCATATATATATATAGAGAGAGAGAATATAAAAGAGAAAAGTCTCCCGCACAAAATTAACTTTTTCCAACATTAAACTTTAAGACCAGCCATTTTTCTATTTATCAAAAAAAAAAAAAACATAATTCAGATATGGAAAAAAAACTAAAAGTATATAATGGAGTCTTCGATAAACAAGAATTTTTTGTTCCCTTCGATATACATTTAGTCAGTCAACCCAATTAACGTATCAAAACGTATCAAAACTTACAATGGAAGAATCGATTAAAAATCAATGCGATTATTCTGCCTCGATGAATTCAAGTGTGAGGCTCGAAGATAGCACTGCTAAGACCCGAGAGAGAAAGAGAGAAGAGATCGTATCTCAAAACCATCTTTCATTATTAAAACGAAACTAAATACCGAAGATGCGAGTCTAATGGTCTCTACGCGCATTCTCAGTGGTGCTTCATTTCAATCTTTTTCTAATTAAACCATAATTTATTAACAATACCTGATAAATGTTCAAATATATTCTAATCGAACATGTCAACACATAAATCCACTTTTTTATTAATTTATTGCTTTTCGATTAAAAATGAATAAAAATTATTTTTTCTTTTTACTGCTAACTTAATAGTATCATCAAATTGCAACGAATTAATACGAAAAATGTGGATCAAATAAAAAATTTGTTATTTTTGGCATCAATTTGATGCAAAGTATTTGATACCGCATCTAGAATCAGTGTTAACCTTTAAGATGTCCGGTAAATTTGCAACAAATTTTAGTAGTTTTTTTATTTAAAATAATCTATGAATTTAGAAGTCAATTCGATAAAAAAAATTCGTAAAAATTAATGGTGGGCACTATAGTGCCCACCATTAATTTTTACGAATCTTTTTCATTTTTGTTAAAATAACATTTTTTATTTAAAATAAGTTATGAATAAGAAGTCAATTCGATAAAAAAGATTCGTTAAAATTAATGTTGGGCACTATAGTGCCCACCCCGGCCCTCTAGAGGTTAATATTATCTATTGTCACTCGGTTTAGTTGGAAAAAAAATTTTCTTTGTAAGAAATTATAAATTGTATAATGTTTAATGTTCCTTAATGTATTTAAGGATAAGTTTCCCCTTGTGTTTTCAATTATGGTGAATATAAATTACTTGTGTAATATATTCTTTTTTAATTGTTAATTTTGCCACAGGAGGTGACAACCTCTACAAGAGAACGATTCACTAAGGAGCGAGAAGAAAAAAAGGAATTCCAGAACTTCGTTTCGCTCTGGATGCGGAGATGATCGATGAGAGGGTCAGAACCACCAACCAGTCGTCTCAAAGAAACTCATCTTTAGAGATATGGCGTGTCCAGTCAAACCGATATAATTATTTTCCATCTGCATGTATTCTGCCAAGCGTGTAAATCATCAGATCTGTTTGTTTCTTGTGCGCGAATTAAATAAACTCTCGATTTTTTTGTTCCCTTTTTATCGATTCTATTCGGTTACTTAATAAAAATAATAATAAAAATAATAAAAATAATAAAAATAATAAAAATAATAATAATAATAATAATAATAATAATAATAATAATAAAAATAATAAAAATAAAAATACTAATAATAATCCGGATGGTACTGAATGAAAATTAAATAAAAATTGTAAACTAAGAAACCAGTAAGAGAAACAGTTTCTAACGGCCCCTGTGGGGGCCGTTACACCAAAGTCGACCCTTGGCCATGAAATTTCCCCTAAAAAGGGGAATAATTAAGTAAGCAATAATAAACAAATATAAGTAATAATAAATATTCAATTTTAATTAAATAATATTCGTGCCGATGTTAATTAATAATATTAATTCGATTTATTTAATATAAATTAAAGAAAATTGAAATAATTTTTTACAAAAATTTTAATTGACTAAGACATGAAATTATTAAAAGAAAAACTTACCTTCATCCTTAAGATTATCCTCCTCGAGGTCCTCTGACAAATTATCATCTTCCTCTTCGTCATCTTGGGACCGATGTGACGCTCCTGCTTCACTTCCGGAATGCTCACCCACACTTCCACTTAATGCGGTTTTCGACAGGTTCAAAACTGGACTGTGACCTACCGAAGAACCTAAAACAAAAAAAAAAAAATTTTTTTTTGGTCAAAAATCAACTAATTTTGTAGGTATAATTAATTATTATTTATAATTTTTAAAAATTATGATGAAATTTTCTCGAATGAATTCAATTATTTTCAAATATTTATATAAAATTCTTTGTAAGACTTCAATTATATTATTCATAAGTAATAAAATTATTAGCAAAAATTCAATTTTTTTTTAAATTTAAATAAAATTCTCCGCAAAAATTCAATTATATTCATAAATAATTAAATTCTTCGCAGAAATTCCATTATTTTCAATTATTATCTATAATAGTAAAAAAAAAAATTGATGACATTTTTTGAAAGCATTCAATTATTATCAAATATTTAAATAAAATTCTCGGCAAAAATTCAATTATATTCATAAATAATGAAATTCTTCGCAGAAATTTCATTATTTTTAATTATTATTTATAATTTTTAAAAATTATGGTAAAACTTTCTCGAATGAAATCAATTATTTTCAAAAGCTTAAAAAAAATTCTTCGTAAGGATTCAATTATTTTTGTAAATAATAAAATTCTTTTTAGGAATTCAATTATTTTCGTAAATAATAAAATTCTATTCAGGAATTCAATTATTTTCGTAAATAATAAAATTCTTTTTAGGAATTCAATTATTTTTAAAAATCTGAATAAAATTCTTCGTAATTATTTAATTGTTCATAAATAATTAAATTCTTTGCAGAAATGTCATTATTTTCAATTATTTATTTATTTTTCATAATTTTTAAAAGTTTTAATATAATTTCTTAAAGGTATTCAATTATTTTCAAATATGTAAATAAAATTCTTCGCATGAATTCAATTATATTTATAAGCAATAAAATTATTCCATATAATTATTCAATTATTTTTAATTATTAATTATAATTTTTAAAAAATTTAATAAAATTTTTTGAAAGCATTCAATTATTATCAAATATTTAAATAAAATTCTCCGCAAGAATTCAATTTTAATCATAAATAATTAAATTTTTCGCAGACATTACATTATTTTCAATTATGATAAAATTTTCGCCAATGAATTGTATTATTTTCAAAAGCTTAAATAAAATTCTTCGCAAGAATTCAATTATGTTCATTAAAAATCAAACTTGACACAGAATTTCAATTATTTTAAAAAAATTTTGTAAAATTCTTTATAAGAATTTAATTATTTTCAATATAATTTTATTACATTTATGAAAAAAATTTAATTGTTTAAACATTTTTTTGAAATAATTCAATTATTTTTAATAGAATTTAAATAAAGTTCTTCAGAACAATTTAATTATTGCCAAAGATTTTGATAAAATTCTTTATAAGAATTAAATTTGAAAATTAAATTTCAAATTTCAAATTCCTCAAAAGAATTTAATTATTTAAAAAATTTTAATGAAATCTTTAGAAACAATTCAATTATTGAAAAAAAATTGAAAAATTGAAAATAAAGAATTATTGGAATTTCAAATTTTTGAATAGAATTTAATTATTTAAAAAATTTTATTCTAATTTTTTGAAACAATTTAGTTATTTTTTAATTCCAATTTTAATAAATTTCTCTAAAACAATTCAAATATTTTCAAAAATTTCAATAAAATTCTTCTCAAGAATTCAATTACTTTCAAAAAATTTTATAAAATTCTTCAAAAGTCAAAACAATTCAATAATTTTGATTAAAAATTTCTCAAATTTAATTGAAAAATTTAAAGAAATTTAAAGAATTGAATAATTTAAAGAAATTCAATGAAATCTTTTGAAACAAGTCAATTATTTTTAATTCCAATTTTAATAAAATTCTTCAAAACAATTCGACTATTTTCAAAAATTATAATAAAATTCTTTCAAGAATTGAATTACTTTTAAAAATATTAATAATTTGCTTCTCGAGAATTAAATTATTTTTGTAAACAATAAAGTTCTTCGCTGGAATTTAATTATTTTTAATAAGATTTTAATAAAATTTATCGAAATAATGGTATTTTATTCAATAATTTTGATAAAATTCTCCGAAAGAATTCAATTCTAATTTTTAAAAATGTTGATAAATTTCTTTGTGAGAACTCAATTATTTTCAATCCAATTTAAAAAAAAAATTATGAAACAAGTTCATTATTTCAGATTCATAATTACAAAAGTAATCAAAATTATAACATTTATAAAAAAAATGTTGTTTTCTAAAATTAAAAAAATCACATTATTAACCCAAAATTATGGAAAATAAAATAATTTCTACATTTTTTTCTGGCAAAACTGGAGAAATGTCTAACTTTGTGGCTCAAAATCATTTTCTCAACGTTTTTCAAATTATTTCTAACTGTTTAGTAAGAAAAATTTCCAAAAATTTTTACAGTGATACTATCAAAAAATTTTTAAATCTAAATCATCAAGAATTTGAACTAATTAGAACAAAAGTGTTATGGAATTTCTAGATTTTTAAATAAATAATATTAATCTTATTTTGCATTACCTAATAAAAATTATTTTTTCTGCAATAATTGATAATTAATTGTCATGTTTGAGAATGTTAAAATAAACTAGCAAAATTAATTTATCATTTTCTATTCATAAGTAAATTTTTATTATTTAATCTTCAAAACAATTATAAATTAGAATTTTCATTAATTTTAAAATTCAAAACATTCGAAAAGAAAAATTATCAATTAAATTATAAAAAAAAAAAAAAATTACATTACAAAAATTCAAGAGAGTAAACTTTTTCACTATGTAATTAAAAAGCCTCTCAATTTATGTAAATGAAATTTGCATATTCGATTTTAATTTTCTTTATGACACCAAGATGGATAAGAAAAGATTTTTTAGTGGCCAAATCCTCCCTCCTCTCTGTCTCTCTTTTGGAAATGAACTAAATCTCGAATTCCATCTAGAAACACAACAAGCAGACGAGTTTTCTGCTGACAAGTTGATGGATCTTATTTATACCCCCTCAAAGTATCCCTATTTAGACAATGAACACACTGACTACATCCACTTTCCAGATCTCTCTTATTTCCAATTCACCGTCACTTTTCCCTCGCGAATTTAATGTCCTAGCATTTTAATCCTGACATGGATGGATTTTGTTTGACCAGTGGTGGCATTCAAACTGACCGTATGTTTGCCTCATTCCAACAAAAAGGGGAGCTCAACATCTATTGCGTTTCAGTTACCGAATTACAATTATTTCCATTGTCAAAAACACTTTTTTCCACTCATATTTATTAATGGACGATGATAAAAATAGAAAACCATTTTATTTTTCAAAAGTAGAAAAAATATCAAATTAAATTATTATTATTAATTATTATTAATATTATTAAGTTTGTGACGAGCTTTTAAGAAAGGTACTAAAAGACACAACTAATTTTAGGTTATGTTTGTAATTTTTTGAATGAAAATACAAAAAGGGAATCATGTCTTAATATAAATGATTTATTTTCCAGTCTTTAGTACATCGAAAATAATTAATAAACACGGATTTTAGTTTCAAAAAACCAAACTTTTAATTAATGGAAACATTTAATTAAGGTAAAAATAACACAAACGTAATCTCAAAATGTTTATTACCCTACTTTCCCCCTTTCAATAAAAAAATTAATTAATATTTATGCGATACATTTTTTAAATAATTAATTAATTAATTAAATTAAATCAAATTATTAAATATGAAAAATATTATTATTTATTATGAAATATTTATGCGAAAAAAGTAAACTCACCATTGTGCGAACTGGGATTTCGTGGTTTACAATCTAACGCTAATACTCTTTCTCCTTCGCTTCGATCGTCCTTCAGCCTGCAACAAAAATAAGAGAAAAAACCAGATAAATAAAGAAACGTGATATAAACATCGAAAATTATTAATTAAATAATTATTCTATCAATTGAGATTCGTGAAATGTGTGTGGGACGATAAGTAACGGTCTCCAACAACGATGAATTCGTTCTCCTCTCATGCTGTATTATATGTGCAGCCTTTCTCAATTGTCTCTTTGTCCCTTCTTAGAGGCGTTGATTGAAATATCATGAGAATCGCATTCAACGAAAAAAATACTTCATTGTAGGCTTGAAAATGATAATAATAATAATAATAATGAAAAAAACAAAAAACCCGGAAAAAGAGAAAAAAAAAAAATTCCACCGTGAAAGTCGTGAGTAAATCAGATGTACAATTTCCAAGCATGACACTTTATGTCTCATTGATATAGCAAATGTTAATTGTCAAAGAATTAATTGCTTTTAAAGTCTTAATCATACAGGAAGGTATTTTATGACACGACATTTGCATACGAAAACATTTTCGATAAACATTGTTATTTTTTTCATTTTCTATTCAAACAAATATAACGAAAGGAGGAATATAAAATGATGAAAGCAAAAAAATTGAAATTGTTTTTGAATTTGAAATTACACGCAAGGAGAAAAATTATTGGAATGGGAGTATTTAATTAATAATTATACGTGGAAATAAATAATTACTTTAACGAATAATAATTGCGTAACTTTATTGGAGAATAAATAAAAAATTGAAATATTATATAAAGCTGCGTTTCGATATTTGTAAAATATATTTTTATTCAAGTGGCGATATTAGGAGAATATACTTGGCAGTAGACGGCAAAATATTGCCAAGGATATTAACTATATATTGCCAAGTATATTAAATGAATATTGCCAAGTTCTTCAACTAAATATTACCAAGTATAGTAAATTAATATTGCCAAGTATATTAATTAAATATTGCCAAGTATATTGAATTAATATTGCCAAGTACTTTAATTAAATATTTCCAAACATATTAACTAAATATTGACCAATATTTATTATCTAAATATTGTCAAGTATATTAAATAAATATTGCCCAGTATTTTTCTAAATATTTCTAAGTATACTGCCAAGTATATTATCTAAATATTTCCCAATATATTATCTAAATATTGCCAAGTATATTGCCACGTATATTAACTAAATATTGCCCAGTATTTTTCTTAATATTGCCAAGTATATTGCCAAGCATATTATTAAATATTGCCAAGTATATTGACAAGTATATTAATTAAATATTGCCAAGCATATTATTAAATATTGCCAAGTATATTGACAAGTATATTAATTAAATATTGCCAAGCATATTAATAACATATTACCAAGTGTATTAACTAAGAATTGTCCAGTATTTTTCTAAATATTGTCAAGTATGTTAATTAAATATTTTAAAGTATAATAAGTAAATATTGCCCAATATATTATCTAAATATTACCCAGTATTATTTTTAATATTGCCAAGCATATTATTTAAATATTATCAAGTATATTGCCAAGTACATTAATTAAATATTGCCAAGTATATTTACTAAATATTGTAGAATATATTATCTAAATATTGCCAAGTATATTAACTAAATATTGCCCAGTATATTATCTACATATTGCCATGAATATTGTCAAGTGTATTATCGAAATATTGCCAGGTGTATTACTCAGTTTATTATCGGACGATTGCCAGCTGTATTGCCAAGCCTATTACCTGAATATTGTCAGTGTTTTTTCTATTTAATATACTCGGCAATATACCTGACAATATTTAGATAATATACTCGGCAATATACCTGACAATATTTAGTTAATATACTCGGCAATATATCTGACAAAATTAAGTTAATATACTCGACAATGTACCTGACAATATTTAGTTAATATACTTGGCAATATTTAGTTAATATACTTGGCAATATACTTGGCAATACATAGATAATATACTTGGCAATATTTAGTTAATATACTTGGCAATATTTAAATAATATACTTGGCAATATTTAGTTAATATACTTGGCAATATTTAGTTAATATACTTGGCAATATACTTGGCAATATTTAGATAATATACTTGTCAATATTTAGATTATATATTGGGCAATATTTAGAAAAATACTGGGCATAATTAGTTAATATACTTGGCAATATACTTGGCAATATTTACAAAAATACGGGGCATAATTACTTAATATAGTTGTCAATATTGAATTAATATAATTGGCAAGATTTAGATAATATATTTGTCAATATTTAGTTAATATGCTTGGTAATATTTAAATTATATACTTGGTATCATTTAGAAAAATACTGGGCAATATTTAGATAATATATTAGGCAATATTTACAAAAATACTGGGCCATATTTAGTTAATATACTTAGCAATATTTAATTAATATACTTGGCAATATTTAGTTAAAATACTTGTCAATTTTCAATCCATTTCATTACTAGTCTATTAATTTAGAAATCTATTAATAAAATGATAAATGAAAATACATAAATATAAAAAAAAAGGAAATAATATTGAAACTGTGTATAATATAATATGAATGCAGTTATTTTATAAATTAAAAAAGTTGCCGTAAGTTTATCCCAGGCAAAGATCTCATTAGTTTCTCGACTTCGATATACAGACTCTTAAAGCAATTGCCATATGTGTAAATGAGTAAATGTATATACGTATGCGTTACTATCGAGACTTTGAGAGTACGTATCTTGAGTCTCTAATTATTCGCCTGTAGAAACAAGACTGAAGCGTAGTAGAAAGGGCGTAGAACGTAATGAAAACCCGTAACGTATTAACACCATGTAGTCTTGGCTCTCTTATCTTTACATGATACTGACTCTCGGTGGGGCTCATAGGTACATAAATGGATACGCATGTTCACATTGGAGAAACGTGGTTAGCGCGAGCGCCGCGACGCTCGGCGTAATATTCAACTAATTACAAATTTAATAACCTCCGGTTCGTTGCCGGTTATTGCAGCGCCGCGACGTCTACGCGCGTTCCGATTCGAGAAGACGACGGACCTGAAGAGTAAAATTTCCTTCTTGGTGTATATATATGTGTGTGTGTTGGAGAATGTATGCGAGAGAGAGAGAGAGAGAATTGAGGGTTGCAGAGAGCAGAAACGTTGGCAAAGAGAAACGTTAGGGACGAACCAAGATATTCATCGGTGACCTTAATCGACTCGTATTACCAATTAAAATTTAATTATCGCTTGAAAATTAAGTTGTCGCGACAATCTGACGCACGATACTGTCTCGATTGGAACCAAACTTCAAGGAACTTAGCTAGACTCGCCCTCTGATATTCTAATCATTTTCATTTATACTCTCAAGCTTTAAGTACGTCAAAATCTTTAATATACAAGAGGTAGAAATTAAAATTTGTAATCATCCCCCGCCCCCTTCGCACATCTATAATTATCATTTCTAACACAAACTGAAAAGAATTTTCTATTTTTATTTTTTAGACAGAAAGAAAGTCTTAAATTAAAATCCAACACCCAGAGGAAGATTTTATTTAAAAACAAATAAAAATTTTCGTAGCAACCCTTTTTTTTCTTCATTCTCGAAGGCGTTACCTTTTTTTTAAAAAAAGAAAACCAAACCAAAGAGAATTTGTTCTGATGCAATGAGATAATACTCCAAAACTAATGTCACCCCTGACGAAGGAATACATTTCCTAAGATGCGAAAAACGTGCCGGTATTCTTTTAAAGATTAAATAAAAAAGCAAGAACATAACGAGTTAGAAGAAACTTTTAATCCCATATCTGAGTCTCTATTTCATAAAAGAAGGGAAGTTTTTCAACATCGACAAACTTTTAAGCCAGAATCGTTAAGATTTTTGTCTCGGAAATGTTGTGGTTGTACGCAAACTCGTGGGAGAAGGTGAATTCTGTGGAGAGAGAGAGAGTGAGAGAGAGAGAGAGAGAGAGAGGTCCCCTTTAAAACGCCCCAAGGCAAAAATCTGAAGAAATAATTTTACCCCCCTCCACTCTTCTTAGTTTTCGAGGTCATCGCTCTTGGCAACGAGAATTATCCTAAAAATGAATAAATTAAAAAACAGAATGTCAAAAGATGGCGATGATTAGATTTTCATTTCTCCGGCTTGCCATTTTTTCTTCACAGATTATTCTCAAGGGTATACTTTTCTTTTTTCTTTTTTTCTGGTAGTGGTGGTTTTTTTTCTGTAGCCTTCGCACCTCGAATCGAACCGCGGACCATTAAGTAAGAAGTTAATATCATTAAACATAATATTGAGCGCATCTGGGAGCCGCAGAGCACTTACCATGGCCTCTCATTCTCTCCTCTCTCACTTCTCGTAACCATTCTGCGTCGCACCGTGTTCCCCTACTTATCCCTGGGCCACCCACCCTTGCCTCCCACTCTCTTTCTCTTTTCCCTTTTGGCGCTTTAATTTTTTAATGAGAGAATGCTTTCAAAGAGCCAGAGAGAAATACAGTGTCTACGAGCGATAAGTTACGGTCGCGTTAAAGAGAATGGAAGCTTCCACTTCTTCTATACTTCCCTCATTTCCTCATTCAACCTCCGGGAAAATGGGCACCGCAAGTGTCACGGACCATTATCCCAAAACATATCGCTATTTCGAATTATTTTATTTCTTTTCCCCTTGCGCTTGAGAATGACTTTTTTAAACATTTCATTGAAAGCATATCTTTCAAGTAACACATATTTCGAGACTTAGGATTTTTAGATTACGTATGAGGTTATATTACTTTTACGTGTATGATTCATTGAATATATTTTATGGGAGACAATAATTTATGAAAAAAGAATTTTTTTTTCTTTCCCACTTATGTTGTTTAAATTTTGATTCCACGCTAATAGCGAGCCCTGCAGGGTGCACCCACTCACTAAAAGAAATAAGCATTCGAACCATGCGGGAGTTCATTAAAAGGCGGAGTTACTTCGAAAAAGGGTTTCGATTGTCCAAGATTTTCGCCTTCGTTT